CCCTGCCGGGCTGTCCTCCCCCCCTGCCTGTCTGCTCTTGCCAGCATCGAGGGTGCGACCTGACATCGAGGGTGCGACCTGACAAGCGTCTCCGCCGGGCAGGCTGGGGAGAAAGGGCTTTTGTTCGGCTGGGGCTCGGCGGAGCCCTGCGCTGGGCAGGGAGAAGGGGAACACCCCGTGTCCCGGCTGGTTTGCAGTGTTGCTTCCAGCTTTTGCCTCAAAGCCCTTGTCTCCTTCCATTGGTTTCACACCCGGGGTGCCTCCGGCTGTCAGCCGGGTTTCTGCCGTGCCAGCAGCCCCCAGGGCTCGGCAGCCAGCAGCAGCCCCAGTGATGGTGCCTGGTGCCTGCAGGAAAGGGGCATCGCCCAGCAAAGTGCCAGCTAACGCCACTCAGCATCTCCTCCATCCCCTCCCCGCCTGCTTGCCCTTTTCCCTGACCAAAGATCGAGCTGCTGCAGCTGCTTGCACCATTGCCTGCGACAAGGCTGGTCCCATGGTGCCTCTTCCCTGTGGCTGTGGCGTAGGGACCCCACGAGCATCCCGGGAGGCTCGCTGAACGGTAAAGCACACGTGTGACACAGATGCACGAAGCCAGTGCTGCACCCGAGTCCAGGGATGGCCTTCCATTTCTTATTTTTCTCTTCCAGCTCAGCTATCAGCACGTGCGTGTTGTGAATATCCACTGTGGCTGCCTGATCTTCAAGGCTGGGGACATAATTAGTGATTTCTCTGCACAGCACCAGGTGTAGCCCCATGACTTTGGAGGCAAAAGAGTTTGTGTCTTGACTCCCAGCCCTTCTGAGCAGGAGCGGCCACAGAAGCTTTGGGTGTCGGGGCAGAAGCGGGGCTGCCGGTGGGATGTCTGACCATGTCGTGTCTCCTGCCCCCCAGGTTCGCAAAGCTCTTGCTCCGTCTCCCAGCCCTCCGGTCCATCGGCCTGAAATGCCTGGAGCACCTCTTCTTCTTCAAGCTAATAGGCGACACACCGATCGACACCTTCTTGATGGAAATGCTGGAAGCGCCCCATCAAA